TTGTCTAGCAAGTGCAAGGCCTTACCATCACAGTACCATAAAAAGAAAAGAGAGAAGAGAGAGGAAGGAAGGAAGGAAGGAAGGAAGGAAGGAAGGAAGGAGGGAAGGAGGGAGGGGAGGGAGGGGGAAGGAAGAAGGGAGGGAGGGGGGAGGGAGGGAGGGAAGGAGGGAGGGAGGGAAAGGAGAGAGGGATGAGGGAAGGAAGATCTGAAAATATAGATTAAATCAAGAGCTATCTTCTCAATGTGCTCAAAGCAATGACTTTGTTCCTTCTACCTTCCAATATATATGAAAAAACAACACATTCACTAATTCAATAACTATTGATCTATGACTATATTAATTGAAGTAAGGAGGTCAGGTCTGGCTAGCACTACATTGGCCACATGGTGAATGATAGGGTCTGGCATCTTGTCTTCACTCTGGGGGAAGGTGATGCTCCCACCTCCAAATGATGGGCATGCTCAAATCCCTGGAGGCAGGGGTAGCACTTGGCTGATGGGTTACTGGATCAGTCAGTCCAACCTGGGACTGGGAATTTCCTATCACCTTGCCCCCTGACCTGACCCTATTTAGGCCCAGGTGAGCATAGGCACCACTATGCCATGCCACGTGCTAATAAACATCAGGGGCTGGGAAGGTGGCTCAGAGGTACAGAGGTACAGTGCTTGCCTTGCATGCATGAGGCCCTGGGTTCATTCCTCAGCACCACATAAGCAAAAAGAAAAAAGCCAGAAGTGGCACTGTGGTTCAAGTGGTAGAGCGCTAGCCTTGAGCTGAAGAGCTGAGGGACAGCATGCAGGCCCAGAGTTCAGGCCCCACGACTGGACCCCCCCCAAAAATTGTGTTCAATGTTTAAATATGTGAGGACACTAAATTCTGCCATAATCCCTGGGGTGCAATATAGCTTTAAATTGTTATCTATTTATTTACTTATTTGCCTATTTATTTATCTATTTATTATCTTAAAGAAGCCTCCCACAAAGGTAGAAAAGTGGAGAAGAAATGGCCTATGATAGCTTCTCACAATATTGTTTATCCTGCAGTGCGAGAGAATCCTAGGGCATTCCTCCAAGACATGAGTCAGACTGTGGTTGAATCTTGGCTATGCAGTGTCTGTAAAGCAGTTCAAGGTCACCAGGGCAGCATGGACGAAATATTCCCTATACTCCATAGATTCTAGATAGAAACACAGTATCTAAGTGTGGTAAGGTGACAATTCAAAGAAGCCACATTTTGAGAGGTAAAATCTTGGAGTCTTTATTAGAATGCTAGCAGTCTGCACATACAAAAGCTTGCAGCCCACAAATAAACAACACAGGAAACAGGCCCAAAAGGAAAGAAAGAACAAAAACAATATCAACAAACCAATTCAGCTTCAATTGAGAGCTGAATTTGGATGCCATGGTGACCAGAGACAAGCCAGGAGATAGGTCACAGGACAGGAATACAGAGATGCATGGCACGGCATAAGCGCCCCAGAGCTGGTACAGGCTTGTATAGGGTCAGGTCAAGGGGCAGGGTCACAGGAAGCTCCCAGGCACTGAACAGACAGGTTCAGTAACCTATAGGCCAAGTGCCCACCCCTGTCTCCAGGGGTTCAGGCATACCCATCACCTGTGGATGGGACTTCCTCCCCCCCTACCCTGCATGAAGACAAGATGCCATACCCTACCATTCACCATGTGGCTAATGTGGCATTAGCCAGACCTGAACTCCCTACTTCATATGCATAACTGGTCCATTAAATTCCACTTTTGTTTCCCAGCAATCTATTAACCTTGCAGCAACAACAGTGATCTTATTAAAATGTCATTCTAAATCATATTTAAAATCATTCAACGATTCCTCACTGCTCTTAGGTTAGAGACCAAACCCTTATTTTATATGGGATTCTGTTCCTTTTCTGGAATGTGTATGTGGTATCCCATTCATTTCAAACAATTTCTGCCTCCTTTCTTCAAATATCCTACTCTACCAATCATTTCAAATTATTTTCAATGGAGAACTATGTGCTTTCCCTTTTGATCAACTATCATAACCACCAGAAAACCGGAAGTGGTGCTATAGCTCAAGTGGTAGAGCGCTAGCCTTGAGCTGCAGAGCTGAGGAACAGTGCCCAGGCACAGAGTTCAAGCCCCAAGACCAACAAAAAAAAAGTTAGTAGAAAATTAGCCCATCGGGGAACTACAGCTTATACAAACTGAAGATGGTAGGATAAGCTGATAAATTAAAACTTGCCCGACAACAAAACGGGGAGGGTATAAAAGAATGAGTAAATAAGGATAGCAGAGTTAATCTCAGCAACACAACCATACAGAAAACAGAAGGCAGATCCACCAATCAGAAAGCCATCCAATTCTCACTATGTAATCAATGATTTCTCAATGCTCTTAGGTTAAAGATCAAATCCTTAGTATATATGCTAATAATCAGGAAGAAGTTTGGAGACTGTGCTAGGTGGCTGACCTGGGCTGTCTTCCCGTGACATATCTATGCCACATGCTCTCTTTCTCTGTCATATCTCTTTTCTAATAAAAAAAAACACATTATTCTGTGTACCAGTACTAGGGTTTGAACTCAGGGCCCGGGCACTTTCCTTGAGGTTTCTTGCTCAAGGCTAGCACTCTACAAATTGAGCTATAGTTCCACTTCCAGCTTTTTGATGGTAAACTGGAGATAAACAGTTTCACAGACTTTCTTGCCCAAGCCAGTTCCAAACCACAACCTCAGATCTCAGCTTCCTGTGTAAATAGGACACCAGCGCTCTGGGCCATTCTGCCAAACTTAACCATCAGTTGTACTTTGTAATGCTACAGATAAAACCCAGAGCCTTGTGTACACCAGGCAAGCACTAGATTACAGAGCCACGTGTAATTTTGTCTCATGGTTTACAAGAAATTGTGAGCGTTAAGTTCTACTTATGACAGAGTCAGATTCATATAAAGTAAGCTGTTATATATGTAGCATTTACCTAGTTAGAATCTAAAAAGCATCTCCATTTCTAGATTTTCTATCTCTACCCAACCTGGTCTAAATTTCCTCTCCTTGCCACTCATGAGCTGCAACCAGAATTCATCCAAGCTAAATTATTTAAGAATGTTTTTTCTTATCATACTGCAGAAGAGGCAAGTTTGTCTTCTGACTGGCTTTTTACAGAGCAATCCTATTTCAATTCTTTACCTCGTAGAGAAAACAAAACTCATTTTGGGTTAAACTTTCTGTCACTGTGACAAGATACCTGACACAAGCAATTTAAAGGATAAAGTGTTCCTTTTGGCAGTTCTGGCAGGAGTAGCATGATGGAGCCCAGGAGCTCACATAAAAAAGACCCAGAAGCAAAAAGAGAATGCTTGTCTCTCCTATATTTCTCATTTTCCCCTTTTATTCCAACTGGAGGGCTATGGAATAGTGCTAACCACATTCAGGGCAGATTAATCCTCTCTAGAAATGCCCTTACATACACAGTCATATGTGTTCTTTCCTACTCTCCTAGGTGCTACTTACTGCAGTCAAATTGACAACTAACATTAACCATCATATTTACTTCTGAGTTATGTATTTAAAGCCAGGCATGGGGATGCATTCCTAAAATAACAGCACTCAGAAAGCTGAGGCTGAAGAGACTAGGTCCAAAATAAAAGAAAGAAAAGATGTTTGCATGTGAAAATGGATATTAAACAAATAATACAAGAGCAGGGTGCAGAGGGAATACACTGACAGTGGGTAGGAGGAAAACAATCCCTTGAGGATTTGTCCTTTAGTGTTCCCAACAAGTTCAATATAATATAGTTCCCATTTTGCAGATGTGCAAACTGAGGAAATCCAAACCTCCAAAATCCTGTTCTAGCTCAAAGCTCTTGAGAGGTGAAGAGAACACATCTTATTTTTGGACTGGTAAAGCAGGAGTACTGAGAACTGACCATTGAGATTGGTTGGAGGCTTTCTGAGCAATCTCTTTTGAAGAGTGAGCCTGCAAACAAATATCTCTTTGTAGACACTCTCTTTCACATCACATATATCCTAATTTCTTTGAAACCTGCTAGCCTTAATCATAATAATGAGAAGTGCTGTATGTATTTATTTACTTGTATGTATGAAGACAGAATAGCAAAAAGTCGAAATTGTTTTAATAGGGGGAAAGGGAATCAAAGTGAATGAAAGGGGATTAGATTAATAGGGTAAATTGTATGCCTGTGTGGAAATGTCAAAATGAAACTTCCTTTGTATAAGTATGCTAATGGAAAAACACAAAATTGTTTTAAGAGTAAGAGTTGTTTATGTCCACAGAAATTTTTACTCTCCAGGAGCTGGTGGCTAACGCCTGTAATCCTAGCTACTCAGAAGGCTGGTTTTTCTGCAGATGATGTATCTCTTTTTCCCCCTCCTTTTTTTGTGCCAGTCCTGGAACTTGAACTCAGGGCTGGACACTGTCCCTGAGTTTCTTTTGTTCAAGGCTAGGGCTCTATCATTTGAGCCACAGCTTCACTCCCCGCGTCGTTTTTGTTTCTGGTAGTTTATTGGAGATGAGTCTCCCAGACTCTTACAAATAACAGGCTTGAGCCACTGGCGCCCGGCACCACAGAACCCCTTGCTCTCGAATTCAATGACCACTCCAATAATTTTCAGTTTGATCAGCGCCCATAAATGCAGGGTGGAACACCCTCTTATCACCTTATAATTACAAAGACAAACTATTAGACCTGAAGCGAACACGGATAAAATATCCGACAAGCATCCAGCCGTTTCTCTCCGCCCCGGAAAAAGAAATGAGATACCAGCGAGACTTAACGCCCACCCGAACGCCTCTTGGGGCTTCCTATTGGGTAGATATGAGCACCCTGGTTACGCCATCACAACGCGCTTTTCAGCGCGTGGCGTGGGGCGGGGAAAAGGGTACGCAGCTTGCGCGCAGGTCCTTGGCCAGGCGGTGGATGGCTCTTTGACCTGCCCTGAGTTCACTAGCACCGCCCCGTCTCGCACTGCCAACCACGCCTTCTGGGCGTCAACTTCCTAGATTTCTCCACCTTTAGCAAGATCAACGAGAAGACTCCTCCTGCATGTAGAGCAACCCGAGCAGGAGCGTAACCGAATGGCGTAAGAACGTGAAAGGAAAGCCGTGAACGTCTGCGCATTCCTGTCCCGAGCCATTCTAGATGCGGGTGAGTGTCGAGGCCTCAGCCCCAACCCTAAGTGGAGCCCGAAGTGATTAGACCCCCTTCCCCGAGATGCCAAGCCCTAGCCCATTCCCAGCATGCTCCACGTGGGATGCCCTGGCAGGTGCTAGGCGGAGAACTGCCTTCCGAAGGGGCAGTACATTAGCTCCTTAATGAAGTCTTTAGATGAGTCATGTCTTCTCTCACCCTCATTCTCCATTTTGCCCTCCCTTTTCCACAGTTTACACCATCCACCTTCACCTTAAAAAAAAAAACAAACTCATTTCAGGAATCATTTGGATAATTTCTGCTTTGTTTCCGTGTGCAGTTTTTTTTTCCTTCAGTGTGCAATTTTAAGGTTCAGTTGTGTATAATCGTGTACATCCCCATATTGTATTTTTAGCCTCCCCTAATGGGGAAATAGTTTTAAATAATTTAAATTTTGTATTTTGTATAAAATTTGTAGGCTTCTTGATTAACATTTTTGCATCCAGGGGATGCGATCAGGAAGAATTTCGACCTGTATACCATAATAAAGTCAGAGACATGTGACTTCATATACTAGCCAGAAATAATGAATATTGTGTAATGTGAAATGCAAAACTAAGCAGAACTTTTTCCTTTTGGGAATGTGTAGGAATGCCACCATCCTGCCTCTCTTCTCGCCCCATCCTCGCTCAGGAATTCTGTCTTACAGTCTGTTCCACACCTTGTGCTGATAGAAGTCAAAGTCAGTTCCATCTAGACGGAAAGCATAGATATGATTTCCTTATAACAGCAACAATGAGTTCCATATAGTAGAACAGTGGTGTGTGCAAAACCAGTTATACTCAATACATCCCTTTTCCATATATAGAAAAACAAAGTTTTTGCATAATTTATTTATTAGATTCTCGATAACATAGTAGGAGCACTGTGTTGATTACTGTGTAATGGAAAAAAGGTTAAACTGAAGTCATGAAGATCTAGTTTCTACACTTCTACCACTGATTACCTTTTGATTATTGGGTCAGCTTGAGGTACTCCATTTCCTATCTGTAAAATGAAAGAAATGACATTAGTTATGATTTGATGTCATGAAGGCTTCTTTCAAATTTAAGAGACAAAGGGAAAATTTAAGTAGCATAGTAAAGAAGTTTTTTTTGTGTGGCATTTGAGGAGAATTGGGAAATGTTTACCTTTTTTAGCATATGAAACATACAATTTTTTTTGTCGGTTGTGGGGCATGAACTCCAGACTTGTGTGCTGTCCTTGCGCTCTTCAGCTCAAGGCTAGTATTGTACCACTTTGAGCCACAGTACCAACTTCTGGTTTGCTGGTGTTTAATTGCAGATAAGAGTCTCATGGACTTTCCTGCCCAGCCTGGCTTCAAACCTCATTCTTCAGATCTCAGCCTCCTTAGTAGCTAGGGTTACAGGCGTCAGCCACCAGCACTTGGCTTTCCAATTAATTGTGGTCTTTTATTACATTAATAATTAGGATACTGCACTATAAACCATTTAGTTTTAGAAACAGAAAGGTTAATAGTATATGAGGATAGTATCAATTTCAAGAAACCTGGTTTAGATATACTACAGGTTATTAAGTTATTAGCCATCAGTTTAATAAAGCACTGTATTGAAAAGAGAAGTTAGAATTTAGGGGGAAATTTTTGGATTAAATTTGAATTTATCTGTTCTCTTTAATGGCTTGATATAAAACTCCATTTATATATTTGAGCTATTTAAATAATATAATGCGTAGCTGCTATAAAAAATTCTTTAAGCTAGGCACCAATGGCTCATACCTGTAATCCTGGCTATACAGGAGGCTGAGATGTGAGGATCATAGTTGGAAGCCAGCCTGGGCATGAAAGTCCATGAGGCTCTTATCTCCAATTAATCACAGAAAAAGCCAGAAGTGGTGCTGTGGCTCAAGAGGTAAAGTGCTAGCCTTGAGCAAAAGGAGCTTAGGGACAATGCCCAGACCCAGACAGAGTTCAAGCCCCAGAACTGGCACACAAAAAAATTCTTTGAAGGGACTGATGAATGGACAAGTTCTGTGACATTAGTTTCTATGGAAAATAGTTTATTACTTGGTTAATTAAATCCTTAAAAATAGCCCGCTACAGCAAATTCTATTTTGTAGAAAAGTAAAAGTTTCTACAAAATTCTAGTTTATATCAAACTATAATTGGGTAACATTGGAAGCTAAAGATTCTGGAGTGTTTGGGAAGCTGTTTGTGGGAGGGGGGTGTTTTGTTTTTAAACAGTAAAATGTAAGTATATGAGAAATACCAGATTAGAGGGCTAAACAAAATATTTTAAGTCTTTTTCTTCTTTATAGGAAAAAATGCTTTCAGAAAGCAGTTCGTTTTTGAAGGGTGTGATGCTCGGAAGCATTTTCTGTGTCTTGATCACTATGCTAGGACATGTTAGGATTGGTCATGGAAATAGAATGCACCACCATGAGCACCATCACCTACAAGCTCCTAACAAAGAAGATATCTTGAAAATTTCAGAGGATGAACGCATGGAGCTCAGTAAGAGCTTTCAGGTATATTGCATCATCCTTGTAAAACCCAAAGATGTGAGTCTTTGGGCCGCAGTGAAGGAGACTTGGACCAAACACTGTGACAAAGCGGAGTTCTTCAGTTCTGAAAATGTTAAAGTGTTTGAATCAATTAATCTGGAAACAAATGATATATGGTTGATGATGAGGAAAGCTTACAAATATGCCTTTGATAAGTATAAAGAGCAATACCACTGGTTCTTCCTGGCACGTCCCACTACATTTGCTATTATTGAAAACCTAAAGTATTTTTTGTTAAAAAAGGATCCATCACAACCTTTCTATCTAGGCCACACTATAAAATCTGGAGACCTTGAATATGTGAGTGTGGAAGGAGGAATAGTCTTAAGTATAGAATCAATGAAAAGACTTGATAGCCTTCTCAATATTCCTGAAAAGTGTCCTGAGCAGGGAGGAATGATTTGGAAGATATCTGAAGATAAGCAGCTAGCAGTCTGCCTGAAATATGCTGGAGTGTTTGCAGAAAATGCAGAAGATGCTGATGGAAAAGATGTATTTAATACTAAATCTGTTGGGCTTTTTATTAAAGAGGCAAAGACTAATCACCCAAACCAGGTAGTAGAAGGATGTTGTTCAGATATGGCTGTTACTTTTAATGGACTAACTCCTAATCAGATGCATGTGATGATGTATGGGGTATACCGACTTAGAGCATTTGGACATGTTTTCAATGATGCATTGGTTTTCTTACCTCCAAATGGTTCTGATAATGACTAAGACATGGAGTAACAAGAGCCATGCATTTGGTCATCATATTTGCTCTCATTTGTGGTAACAATTACGTATCCAATACTGGGATGTTTCTGTTTTCCTTGTCTAATCTGGAGACACTGGTATGATCATGCATTAAAGTTTACTATTATATCTTTAAATGGAGTGATATTTTTTCCTTAAAATGCTTTGTGAAAATTTTAAATATGTTGGAAATAAATGCTTGGAGAATAATAATTTCAAAAGTAAAGAATATATTTATTAATATGTGATAAAGTCTTGGTTATAAACATTAAAAATCAGTGTGGCATCTAGTCTTCCTGATTAAAAAATTTATCCTGTCTTTCTAGCATTCTAGTATATGTAAATGAAATCTCTAGTTGTTATTTTCTGTTAGAATGTTTAGCTGTTTCCTTTACATCTAATGTACACTTATGCTTTAAATTTCCTGAATTGCCAATATATTTGCCTTTTTTTTTTTTTGGTCCAGTTGTGCAGCCTCAACTCTGGGCCGGGCGCTGTCCCTTAGTTCTTCAGCTCAAGGCTAGTGCTCTACTACTTGATCCACAGCGCCACTTCCGGGCTTTTCTACTTATGTGATACTAAGGATTTGAACCCAGGGCCTCATGCATGCAAGGCCAAGCATTCTACCACTGAGCCACCTTCCGAGCCCTTTCTTCTTTTTCTATTTTTTTGGCCAGTCATGAGGTTTGAGTCTGGGTACAGTCCCTGACCTTTTTGTGGTCAAGGTTAGCACTCTACCACTTGAGCCACAGCACCACTTCTGAATTTTTCTATTTATATAGTACTGAGTAATCAAACCCAGGGCTTCATGCATGCTAGGCGAGCACTCTAAGCCACATTCCCAGCCCCTAGGTTTGTCTTCTTAAGGAATACAATCAAGCAACTAAGAAAATATTCCTTATATCAAATATGAATATTTTATATCAAATATTGATATATTCCTTATATCAAATGTTCCTTATATCCAAAGAAAATTGAATTCTATCCCTGATAGATGAAATGAAAATTACTTAATATTCATTAAGTAATTTTTCTGGAAACTAATTTTATTCCTTAGCATACAAAATTTTTGTGTAATACTGTACTTGAGCACACAGATATTGAAGTTAGAATGACCATGAAGAATGTAATGTCATTGATCTGCAACTTGGATAAAAATGTACCATATGAGCTTTACATATTCCTGTTGAGTAAAAGTTCTGTGGACATTTCCTTTGAAGAATTTGGGTGTTTTTGTTTTTTGTGTGTGTGTTGTTTGTTTTTATTTTCAGTTTTCACTTACATAAGTTGATTCTGGCCTGAGTTTTATTTTGTTCTTGAAATTCTGGAAGTTTCCCAGGTTCTTGCATAACACACATAACTGTTTTTGGTACAAAGGCCCTAAACCTAAACAGCTATTTTCAATTAACATACCATTTGTCTAAATTCAATGACTACCCAAAATCTAACCAGTGGTGTATAAGTTGTTCTTGTGCTCACAGATACATGACATACCTGGAGCTGACATATTCTATAATTTGGCCAGCCTTTGAACTAACCCCATGATGCTAATGGTCTCCCAAAGCTTTAGCAAACCAGATAATTTCCTGAGGAAGTCTTTGGCTTCAGATAATTCTTTTTTTTTTGTTGGGGGGGTGTCCAGTCGTGGGGCCTGAACTCTGGGCCTGGGCGCTGTCCCTCAGCTCTTCAGCTCAAGGCTAGTGCTCTACCACTTGAGCCACAGCTCCACTTCCAGCTTTTTTCTTTTTTGCTTATGTGGTGCTGAGGAATCAAACCCAGGGCCTCAGGCATGCAAGGCAAGCACTCTACCACTGAGCCACCTTCCCAGCCCAGATAATTGATTCTTAAGAGTAGTGTGTCAAACCCTTTGTTTCCATTGCTCTGGTTGCTATTGGGATTTTTGGTTAAGATGAGGTATTATTGATTTGTCTTGGGGTTTATTTGTGTGTGTGTGTGTGTGTGTGTGTGTGTGCGCGCGCGCTCTGCAGTTTGAACTCTGGGATTTTTGGTTAAGATGAGGTATTATTGATTTGTCTTGGGGTTTATTGGGGGGGGGTCCAGTCATGGCGCCTGAACTCTGGGCCTGGGCGCTGTCCTTCAGCTCTTCAGCTCAAGGCTAGCGCTCTACCACTTGAGCCACAGTGCCACTTCCAGCTTTTTTTCTTTTTGCTTATGTGGTGCTGAGGAATTGAACCCAGGGCCTTAGGCATGCAAGGCAAGCGCTCTACCACTGAGCCACCATCCCAGCCCACCTTTAGTTTTTCTTTTACTCAAGGCTGGTGCTCTCTTATTTGAACCACAGCTTCACTTCCAACATTATTAGTTTTGATGAATCATAAATCTTTACCAAGCACCCTAATATGTGGTCTCAGGTGAAGTACTATTAATCAAACATGCCTAATATGAGGACAATGACAGTGTTTCTCTGAGTGTGAGACACTGACCCAAGAAAAAAATATTTTTCTATTTGTATTTTCTTGTCTCTAACATCAGTATATGTAAATTTTCATCATTAAATATATTTGTATAGCAAAATATGTCAGAGAATGCATTTCATTATCATATTTGCTAATAGGTACTAGGTAATACAGCCTTTTAAGTCAAATTAATGCTCAATCATTTTGTAAGAATAATCCATTATAAAATGTCTAAACATGCTGTCTATGAATTTATATCCAATTTTATAGATATAATGAGTCAGTAATTACAGTTTACCAAGAACAGTTCTACTGAGGTCATAGTTAACAGATTTGATATCCATTCATGTTGGCCAGCTTTACTGAGAAAAATAATACATTCAGTAGTCAAAAACTAACCTAAATTCCACTGTATTAGGGAGAGAATTGAAAAGATTGCAGAGCAATAGAAGTTGGTTATGAATGCAAGTATACTTTCTTTTTTGGAGGGGAGAGGGGCCTGGGCCCTGTCCCTCAGCTCTTCAGCTCAAGGCTAGCACTCTACCACTTGAGCCACAGCGCCACTTCCAGCTTTTTTCATTTTGCTTATGTGGTGCTGAGGAATCGAACCCAGGGCCTCAGGCATGCAAGGCAAGTGCTCTACCACTGAACCACCTTCCCAGCCCCACAAGTATACTTTCATATGGCAATCCACACTCCTTAAACGCATCTGAGATGTGATGTCAGTGAAAATACTATTTGTTTTGTTTGTGAAGGTACTGGGGCTTGAACTCAGGGCTTTACACTCTTGTTTGGCTTTTTTACTCAAGGCTGCCACTCTACTACCTGATCTACACCTCCACTTCTAGCTTTTTTTGCTGGCCAACTGAAGATAAGAGTCTGATAGAGCTTCCTGTCAAGGTTGGCTTCAATCCATGATCCTTAGATCTCAGCCTCCTAAGAAGCATACAGGAATGAGCCACTGGCACTCTGCCCAACTAAAATCTTTCAGATCACAAGAAATTGAAAATGTTAAAATGTAAGTATGCAGAAACAGACATTTCAATCCCTATGGAAAAATAAGTAAAAATAAAATTATATGCTCTGTGTGTGTGTGTGTGTGTATACACACATGCTTTTTTGGTCAAGGGTGACATTCTGCCATTTGAACCACGGATCCACTTCCATTTTTTTTAGTAATTAATTGTAGATATGAGACCCACTTTACTGTCTGGGCTGGCTTTGAATCTTGATCTGCAGATCTCAGCATCCTGACTAGTTAGATTACAGGCTTGAACCACTGGCACCCTGGCAAATAAGTTGCTTTTTTAAAGTTGCCTCAGTGCTAGATCTGAAACTTAGAGGTAAAGTGCTTGCCTACCATGTACCAGGCCCTAGATTTGGTTTTCATAGGTTTAATTTTCAACTAGAGGGAAGGCGGGTTCTTAATCTAAAGACTAAAGGACTATTAACACTGGTAAATACTGTTTCATCATGAAAATAATGGTAAAGTTTGCAAGTTTTCAAATGTCAGAGTATTGAACTGCAGGGTAAGCCAATCCCAGGCTTGGAGAACCAAGTATCTACTTTCAAAACAGAAGGTAGCTGGTTACCAGTGGCTCATGCCTGTAATCCTAGCAATTCAGGAAGCTGAGGTCTGAGGATCGTGGTTCAAAGCCAGCTAGGGCAGGAAAGTCTGTGAGACTCATCTCCAATAAACCACTCAGAAAACTGGAAGTGGTGCTGTGGTTCAAGTGGTTGAGCACTAGCCTTGATCTGAAGAACTGAGGGACAGCAACCAGGCCCAGAGTTCAAGCCCCACAACCGAAAAAAAAAAAAGTGAGCCAAAGACTTAATTTGCAGGAATAAATCATTCTTTTTAACTATGCACTTTTCTGCTTTTCCAAACATAGTTCCTGTAAACAAATTCATTTCCCTTTTTGCCCCATGATCAGACAACCTATTTCTATTCTTACTACTTCGTTTTTTGTTTTGGTTTCGTTTCATTTTTGGTTTTTTTGGTCATGGGGCTTGAACTCTGGGTCTGGACACTGTCCCTCAGCTCTTAAGCTCAAGGCTAGCGCTCTACCTATCACTTGAGCAACACTGCCACTTCCTATTTTCTGGTGGTTAATTCATGATAAGAGCCTCACAGACTTTCCTTCCCTAGCTGGCTTTGAACCACAATCCTTAGATCTTAGCCTCCTGAGTAGCTAAGATTACAGGTTTAGCCACCTGTACCTGGCCAGAAAGATACTTTTTTGTATTTTTTTAAGTCTAGAATTTTTCTTCTTTGGTGGAATTCCAATAATACTTATAATTTGAACAGCATAAAATAATTGAGGCTTTGAAAAGCCCTATGTTCACATACTAGGTAAATTTAAAATATCTTATAAGAAAACCAATGAGAATTAGGATGCTTTGTTTTCCTACTTTTGAAATGGGACTTTTTGGTGTCAGTCCCAGGGCTTGAACTCAGGGCCTGGAAACTGTCCAAGCTTTTTTGCTCACGGCTAGCACTCTACCACCACTTGAGCCACAGCTCCATTTAAAGCTTTTTGTGGTTAAGGAGATAAGAGTCTCACAGACTTTCCTGTCAGGCTGGCTTTGAACTGTGTTCCTCAGATCTCAGTGTCTCTTGAGTAGCTAGGATTATAGGCCTGACATGGGACTTTTAAAAAGTAGGGGTGGGGCTGGGAAGGTGGCTCAGTGGTAGAGCACTTGCCTTGCATGCATGAGGCCCTGGGTTTGATTCCTCAGCACCACATATGCAGGGAAAAAAAGCCTAAGTGGCACTGTGGCTCAAGTGGTAGAGTGCTAGCCTTGAACTGAAGAGCTGAGGGACAGCACCCAGGTCCAGAGTTCAGGCCCCATGACCAGACCCCCCCCCAAAAAAATTAGTGGTGGTAGTACACACAGGAGCTGTGGCAGGAGGATCAGTTCTAGTACAGCCTATGCTACATGGCAAGACCCTTATAAAAATGGAATAAATATTGAGATGATCTGATGAATTTGACTTTTTGCTTTTTACCTAAAAGAAAACCTTATTTAGTATATGTTGACATTAAGAAATCTCCTTTAGC